CATAGAAAAAAAAAGAAATACGGAAACTGAGTGCAAGGGGACCTCAGAGATCATTTAGTTCAACCCCTGCCTGAAACATCAATCTCTTCTACAATATCCTTGAAAAATGACCTAAAGATTTTGTAACGAGGAACTCATAAACTCAAGAGAAGCTATTCTACTTTTTTTAAGGCTCTAATTGTTAGGAAGCTGTTCCTTATATTGAACAAAATTAATCTCTTCGCGACAATCTCCTATTTGGCTTCCTTGCTTCTAGGATCTCCTCTTCTCCAATCCATCCTCTAATCCATAAAACAAAGGTTTAACCATGTCCATCTCTTACTAAGAAATTTTTGAGGTTCCTTTCAGACAAAATGCAAATTTTTTTGCCCGTCATTTAAAGTCCTCCACAATCTGCCTCCCACCCTCCTTTCCAGATTCTTCCATAATTTCCCTCCACACAGTCTGCACTGTAGCCAAATTGATCCATTTGTTCAACATGTCCTATCAACTAACTTCTGCCTCTTCAAATCTCCCTGTAAGGCTCTGTTAAAGTGGCAGTTCTTACTCAAAATCTTTTTTGATGCCCCCATTTGTTAGTAAGTTCTCTTCTGAATTGTGTGCATGTGTGTGTGTGTGTGTGTGTGTGTGTGTTTACTTCTCTTTGGATACCGATATCTAAGGTCTCTTTAAGCTCTAAAATCCTACGAGCGTATATTTATCCTTCCAGTTAAATGTAACCACAACATAGGCACTAATTGTTTGTCTATTTGTAGCATGTAAAACAATGTCTTTTGTATAGAAGGCACTTAAATGTTTTTTTTAAACTGAAAATAATTATCATGTCCCAGATAACCCAAAGTCTTTTCTTCCACATTTTAAAACTCTCTAGTTCCTTCACCAATCCTCATATGCGTGAATAGTTTCCATGCCCCTTTACCATCCTTATTACCTACTCTGTAAATCCTCTAGCTTATCAGTGGCCTTCCTAAAATGTGGCATCAAGAACTGAACTCAGTGTTCCAGACATGGTCTGAGTAAAATGTGCAGCTCTATCACCTCCCACATTCCAAATGATTCTATTAATGTAGACTTAAATCACAGTAGCTCTTTTGGTTCACATTTTAAACTGTTGATTCATGTTAAGTTTGCATTGCACTAAAAACATGAACTATTATCTACCCAAGGTTTATGCATCTGACTTGTTTTAAGAATCAAACATGGAATTTTTTCATTTATTCCTATTAATTTTCATCTTATCAGATTTGGCCTATCATTCTAGCTTGTCAAGATATCTCGCAAATTGCATGCCATCTTGGGGTCAGGGGAGGGGAGAGATGGGGAGGGGAGAAAATTTGGAACTCAAAATCTTACGGAAGTGAACGTTGAAAATTAAAAATTAATTAATAAATTTTTTAAAAAGAATGAAGGACCAAAAAAAGATATCTTGCAAACTCAATTCAGGCATATAATATGTTAGCTATGTCTCTCTTCTTTATGTTATTTGCAACTTTTATAAATATGCCCTCTTTGCCTTCTTCCAAGTCATTGATAACAATGTTTAACGGTCCAAAGAAACATCCCTGAAACACTAGAAACCACCCCCCAGTTTGACATAAATGCATTAATCACCAGTATTCTGGGTCCAGTCATTCAACTAGCTTCAATTCTATTTAACTGTAAACTTGTCCAGCCCACATTTTTCTCTTGTCCACAGCCTGTTTTGAGAGAATGTGCCATGATTCTTTGCTGAAAACCAGAAATACCTGTCTACACACTGTATTTATCTATCAGTCAAATAACATTATCAAAAAGAGGAAATGAAGTTAGTCTCTCATTGCTTGTGCCCAATAAACCCTTGCTGGCTCAGAGTAATCATTTCCCTAAGTGCTCACAAACCATTTAAAAAATAATGTTCTAAAATTTTTTCCGGGAACTGGAATCAATATACTCCCAACTATTTATAGCAGGACCTTTCATGATAGCAAAGTCTTAGAATCAAAGTAGATACCCATCAATTGAGGAATGTCTAAACAAATTATGGTAAAGGAATGTAATGGAATATTACTGTACTAGTAAATATGAAGAATTCAGAAAAACATGAGAAAACTTATAGGAACTGATACAATGTGAAATAAGCAGAACCAGGAAAACAATGTGTGATGACAACAACAATGGAAATGGAAATATAAAAAGAACACTATCTAATCATAATGACCAAACCTAATCCTGAAGAAGAAATATGAGAATGCACCTACCTCCCTTCTTTGCAGAGGTAGAGGACTATGGGACACTGCAACAATTTTTTTAAAAGAAAATTTTTAAAAAATGAAAATGAGGCACTGGGGCAACACTTACAAGTAACCACCTTCAATTATATTATCATATATAATATAAAGTATAATACAAAATAGAGCCTTGGAGCCCATTAACTTTAGAGGCAGTGCAGAGTAGTAAGCCCACAGATCAATGGACTTGGAGTCAGGAAGACCTGTGTTCAAATTCTGTCTTAGACATTTATTCACTGTGTCACTCTGGGCAAGTCGTTGAACTTATGTGGGCTAATTTTCTTCCTTTGTAAAATAGAGGTGTAGGGGTTGTAGATTCTAATTGCCTTTAACATCCCTTTTGGCTCTGAATTTATGATACGGGGCAATTATTATTTCTACCACTATGTAAATACACTTCTGCCTTTCCCTATTTCCCTTTCCAGAAAAGGAGAGGATTGGGGGATATAACTATTTCTAATTACTATTCTCAGCTCTGTCCTTATTACTACCAGAGTGACCAGGGTCACTCAGGGTCTACATCTCACCAACACATGCTTACCTCCTTAGGACAACATGTAATGACTTCTTGGTCACACTGGACTCCTATATTCTTCTTTTTGGCAATATCCTTTCTCTCAGAGCAGTGAGTGATAAAGACATCAGCTACTAGAGCTTATCTTTTTTTTTTTTTTTTTTTGGGTGGGGCAGTTGTGTGAAACTTAAGGGTGGGGAAAGAAGTTGAATGAGGCCTAATGTCTTATAAGAATCCATGTCAGGGAATAAGAGGAGACAAGGAGACATGAAAACAGGGAAGGTCTGAAAACTATATGTTAGGAGAGATGTTCATCAGATTGTGGCACAATGAAAAACCCTGAAGTGAGGAGATCTGGATTCTAAGCCCAGGTCTGCCTTTGACCTTAAGCAAGTCACCTCAGATGTAATTTAGGGGATTATATTTGATGAACTCTGAGATCCTTTTCAACTCTGAATCTGTGAATCTATTATCTCTCTAGGTCTCAATTTCCTCATCTGTTAATTAAGGTTGGTGAATTATATCATCTCTAAGGTCCCTTCAAGCATTGTTCTATGACTCAAGTATATCTCACGTGGCAGATAGACAAAGAAATCCGAGTTTCTGCAGTCTGTGTCAGGGACACCTACCAAAGGACTGATTACAGCTTTACTCAATATGGAAAGAGCTATACTTCATTCTTTAGTTTTTTCACTTGCAACTTGAAATTTAAGAGCAGGAATAATTTGGGTTGGGGGTGGAGGAAGAAGAGGAAGGAATCTTGATAAATATAGGTAACAATACCTTCAGGTATGTGGAACAGAAGGACCCAGGAATACATGGTGCCAACAGCTAGTATCCTGCTGGCATTTATTAGGGAGTAGAATGTTGCTGTGACTGCCAGAGGACTAGGTGGACAGCCATCATTCTAGAATGTCAACAACTCAAAGAATATATCTATTATTTTTTTTTAAGTTAATGGCTCATTGACTGCTGGATCAATGAGATAGGGCTCAATAAACAGTCTGAGACCCTTTCCTCTAGTACACTGCTAGGAAAAGCACTTGTTTTCAAACCATTCTTTTGTTTGTTTTTTAATCTGTCACCAAATTACCTATCAGAAAATACTGGATTGCCACAACATAGAGCTGACTTACTATTGTCAGAGTCAGGTCTCAAAGGACAGCTGATAGATCTACATAAGGCTCTTTGCTTTGCTGAAAGTTATTGGTGGGGTGAAGTGGGACACAGAGAGAACTTAGCCAGTTAGTGTGCTCCTGGAGTTCTAGGAATTTTTTTTTTTTTTTTTTTGGAGGGAAGCCTTCTCTCTGACCTTCACATTTCTCATTTATAAGATGGGAATAATGCTTGTGATATCTACCTCACAGTGTTGGCAGGAGGATCAGATAATGCATGTTAAGAGCTCTGTTAACCATTATTAACTAATCTAACCAACTCCTTCATTATACAGAAAAGTAAACTGAGATCCAGAGAGAAGTGACCTAGGGTCACACTGCTAGTTTGTGGCAAAGACAGAACTAGAAACCAGATCTTTTGGGTCTTGCCCCTCCAAATTCGACGCTAATTAACCTACACCCAGCTTCTCTTCTCTTTTTTTAAAAAGAAGTTAGTAATAGTTGAAAGGGCTTTGAATTTTCCCATAGATGATCTTGGAGGAGTGGGTCTGGTGGCCGCTCTTTTTTACATCTTGGAAAACTGAGGCTGGGAGAGTGGGAGGGCACATGACTCACTTCAAGGTCACCCAGTGAGTCAGGGGGCTGTGCCAAGGCTTGAACCTTGGCTTCCATGTTTGGCATCCAATCCATAAACCCACGCACTTGGGCACGAGCCCAAGATCAAACTAAAACCAGGTGGCCCCCAGGGGGTTGCCTAGGTAACAGTGCGCGCGCTCAGATCTCAGCCGGAAGCCCGGGGAGGACGGGGAGGAGAAGGGGAACTCGGAGCTCGGCGTCTCGCGCGACCTGACGAAAGCGCCGCAAGGAGCTGGAAAGGGAAGTGTTCCCCCACCACCCTTCGGGACCTCCCTTTGGCTCCGCCCCTCTCGGAAGTCCCCCGCGAGGATTGGCCATCGGCCCGGGGCGGGGCCTGAGGCAGGCGCAGTGCGTACTTCCGGCTGCCGGGTTGACATGAAGAGGCAACGGTGGTGGTTGAGGAGGCGGTAGCGGCGGCCGGTTCCCGGGGGTTGAGGGCTAAGGAGGGACTGAGGTGGCGGTGAGGGCGGCACCAGAGCTGGAGGAGGCGGTGGAGGGCGGCGGCGCCGGCGGCGGAGGAGACGGACCAGCGGGAAAGAAGGGAGAAGCCACACCCGCCGGCCAGGACGTCTTAGAGATGGAGAAGGAGTTCAACCAGATCGACAAGGCCGGCAACTGGGCGGCCATTTACCAGGTGCGGGAACGCCGACCCTGGGGTACTGGCTCCTCAGTCTCGGTTAGGCCTTAGTATCTTCTCCTCCCTTCACTCCGGTGATGCTGCTGGGGACACAGACTCCAGACGGGGGTCTCCCTTCACTCCCTGACCCCCAGGCCCCAGCTTTTTCTGGGCCTGGACTCTGGCTTCAAGTCCGACTGGAGTGAGGATTTCATCCTTTTCTCCCCCCAGCAGATCTTGACAATACTCCCCAGGCGTCCCATCCCCCCTTTTTTTGTTCTTGGAGGCAAGCGTACTCTTCTACCCACCAGGACCTAGTAAGCCTCTTAAGACGCTCCTTTCTCCCTAAGGTTAACCTTCTATATCCCACATCCTTTCCTGTAAAATAGGGTTCTGTGTGGCCTCTAACTTTTCTTTAGGTTGGCATACACACAGCCTTACCAAGAGCCTCCTTGGGCCTCGGGTTTCTCATTTGTAAAATGATCGGGCTGGACAAAATGATCTTCTCCTTCAAATCTTATCTTCCCCGACCCCATCTCCTAGACACCCATTCTTTGTCTTCTGGGATTGATTCACCCCCAGTTTCACCTCCCTCAGGAAAAGGTTTGGATGCCATGGTAATTTTTCTATTATTGTCTCCCGGAAATACGATAAATCACCACTTTTCTCTTTCCCTCCCCTTTTCACCACCTTCCTCAAACACTTTCACAGATTTGGCTCAAAGATGATAAGACCCTTTCCTACAAGTGTAGCTTATGAGAATTGGCCAGTTGTGCCATCATTCTTTGACATCACAGATTGCCCTTCCAGAAAAGGATAATAAAAGAGGTAATAGGAAATTGAAACTCCTCTAATCCACACTAAATTAGGATGAGTTCCACATCTACAAAACAAATCAAAAAAGCTTAATATCTTACAGTTGGTTAGCTCTGCAGATATCTGGTCTTGTATGACCTGCTTAGGATGTGGTGGTGTATAAATTAAGTTGTTAGGAATTTATTTATTTTTTAAATATTAGGTTAGGAATATGAAAAGAGGTAGTTTTACCAGTAGCCAACTCCTCTTAAAAAAAATTGTGTGCTTAGTATTTAATGTAATCGTGTTGGGGAGAAGGGTGTGAAGATTAATAAAGTATTATCTTAGCACAAGAGAAAGTAAAGAGGGTTTTGTCACTTTTTGTAAAGAGAGAAACCCGAATACTTGCTTTCAGTTAATCTTGACTTGAGCTTCAGTTAAGCTCAAAAAAACCAAATTGCAAACTCCACTGCAAGGGTTTTAAAATCTGTTTTGAAATCGTTTTTTAAAAAATGCTTTAAGCTGTTAGTGACTGATAAAAGACTTTTGGGTTACCCGGGGCTTTTATTCTGATTTGTTTCAAGTGCTTTATTTGAGGGCATTCATTTTGTATCAGCTCTTGATGGACTTGAGTTCACATGTTGTCAGGCTGTTGTAGTCTCTGATATTCAACATGTTGAATTTAGATTCCTTGTCTGTTACGTTCGAAAGATAACAAAATTCATTTTATTGGCCACTAGTGTAGATTTCTGGAGGATGTTTTTAATTAGAGGAGAAGTAGAGCAAAACTTCTGCTTCTAAAAAGTAACTGTAGTTTGTGATTGAATGCATAAATACATGTATAAATGTATGACTGTATAAATGTGTGAATTTGTTATTATAGTTAGATCCTTCCTGTCTTAGGCCATAGTATCATTAAATCCCAAATTTTCATCAGTGAAGTTTAAGTAGTGCTAGCTAACTTAGAAGAAAAGCTTGTTCTTGTGTACCCAGGAAAGTGGAAATATTAAAGACTAATCATTCTAGCCCCTCACAAAAAGTTTTGTCACATTTCTACTAGTAGAGTTACATATGATTGCTTTAAAATAGGATGGTCTAGCCTCTTTGGCATTGCTGCAATTCTGAAGATGCATTCTGTGGCCTTAAAAAAACATGGAATCAGGGCATCTAGGTGGAGCAGTGGATAGAGCACTGGCCCTTGAGTCGGGAGGACCTGAGTTCAGATGTGGCCTCAGACACTTGACACTTACTAGCTGTCTGACCCTGGGCAAATCACTTAACCCTATTGCCTAGAAAAAAAACAAAACAACAACAAAAAAAGCATAGAGTCCTCCCCCCCCCCTTAACATTTACTTTTACTGTCCTGAAAATTTGAAATTTTTCTCCATTGCAAACTATTAAGTTGTTTCTTATAGAACTAAGCCTTTAAAGTGTTATTTTAGGAAAAGATAGGATGTTTCAAAAAAAAAAGGATGGAACTGATCTTTAAATCTTAACAGAGTAGGCAATTTTCTATCTTTATATATCTACTAATTTTAATCCATTATTTCCCCAAGAAATTAGAAAAGAGCATATGCCAACAGTTAGTGAACAATTAAGGGATCTCAGATTTTCATGGCATTATATTTTTACTGTATAATGCTTCTTATTCATACAACTGAGAGGCAGTTTCGCATATTAAGAGTGCTGGGCTTTTGAGTTAGGAAGATTAAATCTGACTTGACGCATAATAATTGTGTAACACCAGACAAATCACTATGCACCAGAAATTGTTTTAGGTTACAAATTACAGGTAGATGCTTATCTACACTGATGGAGGAAATTTTCATACTGGAAGTTCCATAAACTGATGATATCATGGGTCTGGAAAAATTAACATGCTATGTTGCTTTTGGAAAATATGTCTGGTTAATTTTTAGTTTGCTAAGTGCATTATCTTACTGTCAGAATTTGGTAGTATCTTTTCATTCCTCACCAAAAAAAATAAAATAAACAGATTTCCTACAAAAGAAGAAAAACAGATAATGGAAAAAAGGACTAAATGTGAAAAAGAAAGAAATTTCTTTTTGGGTTCAGACTAATATGACAGGGAAGTCTTGCTTTGGCTGCTTGTTCAAGCAACAGTCTGTGCTAGTTCAGTTTGATAGAGTGTAAACAATGCTTTGGAATTTTAAAGTTGATCAACAGCACAAATAATCAATAAGCATTCACACTAAAAATTACCTTGATGATAAGTAGCATATTTGGGCAGTATTTGAAATTCATTCTTTAGCATTTAAGCAATTATATCATACTAAGAAAATGGAATGCTTTTTGGTCCATACCTAATGTGATTGAGCTGGCAAGACTAGGAGAGCACTAGCATGAAAAGAAATGTTGATCTTGGAAAATGAGGTGAAGGAAGGTAGAGGAGGTCTTGTATGAGTAAAAAATTAGTAAAAAGATATCCAGTAAGACACAATCCATATACACTTTGTGGTATAAATGAAATGGTTGTTTCAGTTTTGTTTTGTTTTTTTAATGAAACAATAACCAGTGGCTTAAAGGCAAGATTTATTGCACATTATAGACAAGTTCACCTAGATTGCCAGCTTTAAGAAAAGAAAAAACAAAACCTGTTAATGACTGATTTTTGTTGTTCAGTCATTTTTCAGTTATTTCTACCTTTTCATGACCTCATTTGGGGTTTTCTTGACAAAGATACTGGAATGGTTTACCATTTCTTCTCCAGCTCGTTTTATGAATGAGGAAACTGAGGCAGACAGGGTTAAGTGACTTGCCCAAGATCACACAGTTAGTATGTATCTGAGGCCATATATGAACTCAGGAAAATGAGTCTTCCTGACTTTAGGCTGAGCACTCTATCCATTGTACCACCTGGCTGCCCTAATGATTGATTTGACTGTTAACGAAACCTTATGTTAGTGTTTCACTAAAATTCCTTAATGCTGTTATGTACATCTGGCATGTGGAAATCCAGTGAGATGGGATATTAAAACTTTATGATACTGTTTGTTTAAAGAACATTGTCTACAAGGAGGTAGTACTTTGGGGGTAAATAGAAAAGAATCTGCACAGTGTGAGATGTTTGCCATTCTGTTAAAAAAAAAGAAACAAAGATGAAATGAATAGAAAAGGAGGTTCTAATCATCTTCAATGACCCATTAATTCTAAATGGTATTTAAACTAGAACAAAACAAGAATTAATTTTAGTTGTCCCTAACTTTGAAGATGGCATAAACACTTAAAATCAACAGTATTTTGAGCTGACTGGAAGTACCAGCAGATATGGTGGAGGGGAGAATAACTTAGTGCCATTATTCAGTTGACATCACTGGCATATTTATAGGAATGAATGCCTTGGTACATTTGGAAGTGAGCAAGCTCTGCCAGTGGCTCCTAGAAGCATTCAGAGGACAATGATTATGAAAATCGATTTCAGTTGTGACATTGTCCTGATTCTCCACCCCCTCATCCTTGTAACTGAATTTTTCTTTTTAATATGAAGCCTCTACTAAGCCCTGTAATAATGCGGTTGAATTATTTTACTGCATACTTTATAAAGAAACAGGAAACTTCCATTAGAGGTTTTAGATATATAAAGTGCTTTCCCCTCTACTATAGTGTATGAGATTTTTCTTACTTTCTTCTTTTGACTACTCCTGTAAGCTACAGAATATATGACAAAAGTGTGTATATTGAGTCATTTTTATCTTGTGAAAACATAGACCTTTTGCATAAGCTGGCATTCTTCTTACAATGAATGTAATGTTACATTGCTTCTGAGTTTACGCTAATTAGTTTCAGCAAATAGGTTTCACAAATTCCTTTACTGTGATATGTTCAGTGAGGTTGGTTTGATTTTAATAAATAATATATTTTAGAATATAAGATTTTAAGATTTCCAGTCAGCATCTGTGCAGGCTTCCTTGTAGCAGTATTATAGCCTGAATACAGATCATTACTCTGGGAGGAAAATAACATCATAATACAATGTGTTCTCACATCCTAATTTGTCATGGTTTTTTATAGGTTCTTAGTTACCTAGATTTTCAGAGCTAAGAGAGATCTTAGGATTCTAGATTTAGAGCTAAAGTGGACTTAGAGGTTCTCTAGTTCAGCCGTTCATTTTTACAGATGAAAAAACTCAAACCTAGAGAGGTTAAGTAACTTGCCCATGGTCTCTTCAGTGGTCAGCAACAGCAAAGCTGGGGTTTGTGCAC